GCTTCAACATATTTGTAACAATAGTCTACGACCATACCACGTTGAAAGCACGACATCTCGTCCGATCTGTCAAGTTAAGCAACGTTGGGCCTGGTTAGTACTTGGATCGGAGACGGCCTGGGAATCCCAGGTGTTGTAGACATAATTTTGGTGTTTTTTAGACATGCATTAAATGTGATAAAAAAAATGGTTCATAGTTTGATCTGTTTGCCGAAAAATAATCAGCTGAATGTTGAATACACAACAACTATATGATAATGATGCAGGTATGATCGACGGTTTAATTACCCAAGTTTGAGGTAATTGAATGTTTCGGCCCAGAGTTTAGGCTACTGTGGCTTGAAGTAAAATTTTGGAACGTCCTGCATATTTGTGGGACAATAATAAATGCTTTTAGCAAGAATGAGATTTTGCTCAGGTTTTATCATTTGTATAAAATATATCATCAATCTATATTACTTACTTTGAATGCATGAAGATCGAAATTTTTCTCTACTTGCAATCTGTTTTGTTCCAGTGATAATGTAAATTTAGCAATTGAAATATTGTTGAATAATAAATTTGGGCGCAAATGTTGCTTGAAGTGAAGTAAAAATCATCGCTACAATTAAATGTGTGCTATTATCGAAAGTGATAAAAAATGGATCACAGTTTGATCTGTTCGCCGAAAAATAATCAGCTGAATGTTGAATACACAACAACTATATGATAATGATGCAGGTATGATCGACGGTTTAATTACCCAAGTTTGAGGTAATTGAATGTTTCGGCCCAGAGTTTAGGCTACTGTGGCTTGAAGTAAAATTTTGGAACGTCCTGCATATTTGTGGGACAATAATAAATGCTTTTAGCAAGAATGAGATTTTGCTCAGGTTTTATCATTTGTATAAAATATATCATCAATCTATATTACTTACTTTGAATGCATGAAGATCGAAATTTTTCTCTACTTGCAATCTGTTTTGTTCCAGTGATAATGTAAATTTAGCAATTGAAATATTGTTGAATAATAAATTTGGGCGCAAATGTTGCTTGAAGTGAAGTAAAAATCATCGCTACAATTAAATGTGTGCTATTATCGAAAGTGATAAAAAATGGATCCAGTTTGATCTGTTCTGCCGAAAAATAATCAGCTGAATGTTGAATACACAACAACTATATGATAATGATGCAGGTATGATCGACGGTTTAATTACCCAAGTTTGAGGTAATTGAATGTTTCGGCCCAGAGTTTAGGCTACTGTGGCTTGAAGTAAAATTTTGGAACGTCCTGCATATTTGTGGGACAATAATAAATGCTTTTAGCAAGAATGAGATTTTGCTCAGGTTTTATCATTTGTATAAAATATATCATCAATCTATATTACTTACTTTGAATGCATGAAGATCGAAATTTTTCTCTACTTGCAATCTGTTTTGTTCCAGTGATAATGTAAATTTAGCGATTGAAATATTGTTGAATAATAAATTTGGGCGCAAATGTTGCTTGAAGTGAAGTAAAAATCATCGCTACAATTAAATGTGTGCTATTATCGAAAGTGATAAAAAATGGATCACAGTTTGATCTGTTCGCCGAAAAATAATCAGCTGAATGTTGAATACACAACAACTATATGATAATGATGCAGGTATGATCGACGGTTTAATTACCCAAGTTTGAGGTAATTGAATGTTTCGGCCCAGAGTTTAGGCTACTGTGGCTTGAAGTAAAATTTTGGAACGTCCTGCATATTTGTGGGACAATAATAAATGCTTTTAGCAAGAATGAGATTTTGCTCAGGTTTTATCATTTGTATAAAATATATCATCAATCTATATTACTTACTTTGAATGCATGAAGATCGAAATTTTTCTCTACTTGCAATCTGTTTTGTTCCAGTGATAATGTAAATTTAGCGATTGAAATATTGTTGAATAATAAATTTGGGCGCAAATGTTGCTTGAAGTGAAGTAAAAATCATCGCTACAATTAAATGTGTGCTATTATCGAAAGTGATAAAAAATGGATCACAGTTTGATCTGTTCGCCGAAAAATAATCAGCTGAATGTTGAATACACAACAACTATATGATAATGATGCAGGTATGATCGACGGTTTAATTACCCAAGTTTGAGGTAATTGAATGTTTCGGCCCAGAGTTTAGGCTACTGTGGCTTGAAGTAAAATTTTGGAACGTCCTGCATATTTGTGGGACAATAATAAATGCTTTTAGCAAGAATGAGATTTTGCTCAGGTTTTATCATTTGTATAAAATATATCATCAATCTATATTACTTACTTTGAATGCATGAAGATCGAAATTTTTCTCTACTTGCAATCTGTTTTGTTCCAGTGATAATGTAAATTTAGCAATTGAAATATTGTTGAATAATAAATTTGGGCGCAAATGTTGCTTGAAGTGAAGTAAAAATCATCGCTACAATTAAATGTGTGCTATTATCGAAAGTGATAAAAAATGGATCACAGTTTGATCTGTTCGCCGAAAAATAATCAGCTGAATGTTGAATACACAACAACTATATGATAATGATGCAGGTATGATCGACGGTTTAATTACCCAAGTTTGAGGTAATTGAATGTTTCGGCCCAGAGTTTAGGCTACTGTGGCTTGAAGTAAAATTTTGGAACGTCCTGCATATTTGTGGGACAATAATAAATGCTTTTAGCAAGAATGAGATTTTGCTCAGGTTTTATCATTTGTATAAAATATATCATCTATCTATATTACTTACTTTGAATGCATGAAGATCGAAATTTTTCTCTACTTGCAATCTGTTTTGTTCCAGTGATAATGTAAATTTAGCAATTGAAATATTGTTGAATAATAAATTTGGGCGCAAATGTTGCTTGAAGTGAAGTAAAAATCATCGCTACAATAAATGTGCGCTATTATCGATTGGATGTGATTTATGCTTCAACATATTTGTGACAATGCCACGTTGAAAGCACGACATCTCGTCGAGTCTGTCAAGTTAAGCAACGTTGGCCTGGTTAGTACTTGGATCGGAGACGGCCTGGGAATCCAGGTGTTGTAGACATAATTTTGGTGTTTTTAGACATGCATTAAATGTGATAAAAAAAATGGTTCATAGTTTGATCTGTTTGCCGAAAAATAATCAGCTGAATGTTGAATACACAACAACTATATGATAATGATGCAGGTATGATCGACGGTTTAATTACCCAAGTTTGAGGTAATTGAATGTTTCGGCCCAGAGTTTAGGCTACTGTGGCTTGAAGTAAAATTTTGGAACGTCCTGCATATTTGTGGACAATAATAAATGCTTTTAGCAAGAATGAGATTTTGCTCAGGTTTTATCATTTGTATAAAATATATCATCAATCTATATTACTTACTTTGAATGCATGAAGATCGAAATTTTTCTCTACTTGCAATCTGTTTTGTTCCAGTGATAATGTAAATTTAGCAATTGAAATATTGTTGAATAATAAATTTGGGCGCAAATGTTGCTTGAAGTGAAGTAAAAATCATCGCTACAATTAAATGTGTGCTATTATCGAAAGTGATAAAAAATGGATCACAGTTTGATCTGTTCGCCGAAAAATAATCAGCTGAATGTTGAATACACAACAACTATATGATAATGATGCAGGTATGATCGACGGTTTAATTACCCAAGTTTGAGGTAATTGAATGTTTCGGCCCAGAGTTTAGGCTACTGTGGCTTGAAGTAAAATTTTGGAACGTCCTGCATATTTGTGGACAATAATAAATGCTTTTAGCAAGAATGAGATTTTGCTCAGGTTTTATCATTTGTATAAAATATATCATCAATCTATATTACTTACTTTGAATGCATGAAGATCGAAATTTTTCTCTACTTGCAATCTGTTTTGTTCCAGTGATAATGTAAATTTAGCAATTGAAATATTGTTGAATAATAAATTTGGGCGCAAATGTTGCTTGAAGTGAAGTAAAAATCATCGCTACAATTAAATGTGTGCTATTATCGAAAGTGATAAAAAATGGATCACAGTTTGATCTGTTCGCCGAAAAATAATCAGCTGAATGTTGAATACACAACAACTATATGATAATGATGCAGGTATGGTCGACGGTTTAATTACCCAAGTTTGAGGTAATTGAATGTTTCGGCCCAGAGTTTAGGCTACTGTGGCTTGAAGTAAAATTTTGGAACGTCCTGCATATTTGTGGGACAATAATAAATGCTTTTAGCAAGAATGAGATTTTGCTCAGGTTTTATCATTTGTATAAAATATATCATCAATCTATATTACTTACTTTGAATGCATGAAGATCGAAATTTTTCTCTACTTGCAATCTGTTTTGTTCCAGTGATAATGTAAATTTAGCAATTGAAATATTGTTGAATAATAAATTTGGGCGCAAATGTTGCTTGAAGTGAAGTAAAAATCATCGCTACAATAAATGTGTGCTATTATCGATTGGATGTGATTTATGCTTCAACATATTTGTAACAATAGTCTACGACCATACCACGTTGAAAGCACGACATCTCGTCCGATCTGTCAAGTTAAGCAACGTTGGGCCTGGTTAGTACTTGGATCGGAGACGGCCTGGGAATCCCAGGTGTTGTAGACATATTTTTGGTGTTTTTTAGCCATGCATTCACTTTCTTTTATTTATTCGTTATTTCTTTCATAATGTAGCGTTGATTTCATTGTATTGTTTTTTAATGCAAAATATGCTGTCGCTAAGATATCCCTTATGATCTTTGGCATGTATCAAATTTATGAACTGATGAACTTGCCTGCAACTGGAGAAGTCATATGGTGTAGACAGTTCTGTTTTGTCTACAGGTAAATAATTTTGTGCTCATCACTATGCGATTATGGAATGGTTCGACGAACAGATAAATGCCGGAATGTAACAGTACAGCGATGGTAATCGATCGGAACAGATAGTGCTGTAGTGGGTTCATCGTAGCTAGACAGTACTGCCAGGGTGAGTATGCCAGCCAGCCAGCCAGCCATTGAGTCAGCAACGCACATTGTACTACGTGTCGCGGAGGCTTTTATCTACCAGCAAACTAATGAAAATGAAGTCGCCCATGCCAAGACGAACTGATGCTGAAATTTGCATATTTACTAATTTTAGCTTAAATTGAACATCATATAGTACGCATTATTAAGCATTATGAATTGTGGGATGATTCGCTTGATGATTGTGGGATGACTGGTCAGTTACCGAGTTGGCAGGTCAAGAAGATGATTTGGCAAGAAAATAATTCCCAAAGAAATAAATATTTCACAGCTTAGATTTCCCATATCTTTCTGTCGCGTTAGGAAACTTAATTGAAGGAATTAATTAGATAAAGTTCTGAGCAGGTAATACTTATTTGATTGCTCTTATTTGAAAAAAATACTTATTGAAAGAAAGAAACATGTTAATCACATTGATAGCGGTGAAAAGAATGAAGCGTTCTGAAGGATTTGTAATCAGAATGAGATTTTCAATTTATTTTTTTATTTCTATTCAAAAATTAATCTTGTAAGTGCCAATCTCCCGATACCTGTTCAACGAAAAAATTTCCACAAATACATCCATCATTCAGAGCATCGTAGATTTTAAATTTCGTTTCTTTCTTTTATTCTCGGTTGTTCCAAGCTTTGTGCAAATTTTCCGGATCGTTTCATCACATATATTACTTTTTGCGACCTAACGCTTTACGCTGTTGGATATGTTTGCTCTTTGCTTCCTGTAATTTAGACAAGTTCACTTCAAAATTTTTAGGACTCAAGACATGGATCTGTCGAAAGATAGGATATGATGTGCTAAATCGATGAATCCAGCTTTGTTGGAGCTTATTTTAGGCTTCTCCTCACTTTTTGTTGTTTTGGCTCGACAAGACATCTCTTGCTTGTCTGAATGATTAACTTTGAAAAAGCTGCTTTTGTTTCTTTTTCCATTCTGATGTTTTCAGTTATGTTGTAAATCTCATGTGAACGATTTGTAGAGATAAAGAATTTTATCAAAACTGGTCCACAAAGGCCTTTTTTCTTCTAAAAAATTTTTTCTTTTTTTTGTCTCTTTCGGGAAACGGATGGTAGCCAACTGACAAGAGAAATAGAATTTACTACCACAGCAGAAAGCTCACTGCCTAAGAGAACTTACGATTTCTTCCCTCCGCTCATCATTTCTATTCTCAGCGTGAACATTAAAAATCGCAATACCTATAAGGAGTAAGCAGTTGTCGCAAATTATAATTGTAAGAATGAATTAAAACAGTGAATTTATTTAATTTTGCTACTGAAATATCATTCAGAACTCAATTATTAAAGTTTATTTGATTATTTGTGCTGACCAAATGACCACAATGTATATGACCAGTACCCATGCAATGGATAAAAATTAATCAATTAAGTTCAAAATATCTTTTTTTTTTTTTAACGATCTAATATTTTTTAACATTTTAACATCTAATTAAAATAAATTTTGACCAACCCGGGATTTATTTCACAGTTTAATATACAAACACTTTTAAAAATTATACGATTTTCTTAAAATTTGATATTTATATTTGAAATAAAAATTATTTTTAATTGTTAGAATGAATTGAAAACGTGACAAATTAAAAATTTAATCAGTTTTACTAATCAAATATTGGTTAAAACTTAATTATTAAAGTTTATTTTAATATTTATGCTGGTCAAATGACCACCACAATGTATGTGACCAGTACTCATGCAATGCATAAAAATTACTCAGTTAAGTTCAAAATATCTACTTTTTTTAATGACTTGACATTTATATATATATATATATATATATATATTAATTAAAATAAATTTTTGATATTGCTAGAATTTATTATGTAATTTAATATGCAAAACTCTAATAAATTAATGAATTTTCACAAAATTTGAATTTTAAATTTGAACTAAAAATTAATTATAATTGTGAGAATGAATTAAAACCGTCAAAAATTAAAAATTTAAATAGTTTTGCTAGTCAAATATTGATTAAAACTTAATTATTAAAGTTTATTTTAATATTTCTGCTGGTCAAATGATCACAATGCATGCGATCAGTACCTATGCAATGCACACAAATTAATCAATTAAGTTCAAAATAACCATTATTTTAATGAATTGATATTTTTCAATATTTTAACATTTATTTAAAACTAGTTTTTGATATTTACTACCATTTTTTTTGTAGATTATTATACAAAATTCCAGTAAATTAATGAATTTTCAGAAAATTTGATATTTAAATTTGAAATAAAAATTAATTTTAGCTGCAGAAATGAATTAAATATAGGACAAATTAAAAATTTTATTAATTTCACTTGTTAAATATTTATGAAAAACTCAATTATTAATGTTTATTTCATTATTTATGCTGGTCAAATGACCACAATGTACGTGACCAGTACCCATGCAATGCATAAAAATTATTCAATTAAGCTGAAAGTAAATATCTTTTTGAATGAATTACTATTTTTTAATAGTTTTGATTTCAATTAAAATAAAATTTGATGATAGTAGGACTTTTTTCCTAGTTCAATATGCAAAAACTCTTACAAATTGTGGGATTTTCATTGAAATAAAACTTAGTTTCAATTGTAAGAAATGATTTAAAACCGTGATAAATTAAAAATTTAATTAATTTTGCTACCGGAATATTGTTCAAAACCAAATTATTAATGTCTATTTTGTTATTTATGACGTCAAATGACCACAATGTATGTGACCAACTCCCGCACTATGCATATAAAATATCAAATTAGTTTCTAATTTTCTATTTTTTTAATATGAATTGGTATTTTTTTAATATTTTTTACACTTAATTAAATTAAAATTTGATAGTCAATCTTACTTTTCTTGCTTTACATGTTTTTGTAACGTTCTGAATTACAGAAAATTGTGACACACCTACACCCACTACTTGTTGTGCATGTTGATCTAGGTTCCATTCTAATCTTCATTGCATCAACACCTGCATCAACATTAATTACGGCAGTCTCTTCTCTGACCATAGTTTCACATCTTTCTATACCATCTTTTTTACCAGTACCAACTGCAGCGGCAACTCTGAGCCGCCCTTAAGTATCATTATATGAATTAGGGTATCTATTGTATTTCTTAATATCTTTAACTGTGATCAAATCTATAGAGTAGGTGTTTTTATCTATGACCAAAAGCTTTTCTATTCTATTCTCATGCAATAGTTTCATTGCTGAAGCGCTCCCGTATTGTAACTAACTTCTCTTTTGTCATTACCTCGGGGACTTTTATACTTTTTTCTGATTTTTTTAACCATCAATAAACCTTATATCTCTGTTACTTAAAACTCTGACTAACTTGCATTGATCAACCACAGGAATACCAGAAGCTTTTTCAATAATGAAATTGCTTCTGCAACTGTTTTATCAGGGGAACAACACAGTCTGAAGTAGAGGAGTCAATAGTCAATTGCTTAAATAATCCACTGACTTTTTTTGCTGCTTTCTTTTTGTACTTATGTATGAGAGAAGCACATTGCTTTGGTCGGTGTGGCTCAGTCGGTAGAGCATCAGCTTGTGGTACTGAGTGCGGCTAGTTCGGCTCTGCTCACTCTCTCCAGGAAGATCGTTCCCTACCTTATGATGAGTACTAAATTAGTGTGCAATTACACAGCCAACAAAGGCTCCCTGAATAATTCGAGTGGGTGTGGCTTAGTTGGTAGGGCATTAGCTTGTGGCATTGAGTGCGGCTAGCTCGGCTCTGCTCGCTGCCCTCACTTAAAATCTCCTCTGCATTATTATGAGTCTTTAATCAGCCAGCAAAAACTCACTCCCCAAACCATCTAAGTGGGTATGTGCGCCTAGTTCGGTTCTGGTCGCTCTCCCAAATGAAATCTCCCTTGCAAAATGATGAGTCCTAAACACAGCAAAAACTCTCTAAATCATCTGAAGTAAAAATTCCAATGAACGATTGTCAGACATGTTATGCTCTACCTACTACTGTCTTCATCAGATGCACCTCAACTTCTTGACTAAATTTAACGAAGTTGGTAAGGAATATAGCATTATCGTCAATAAACGCACAGGGCAGTTTATATATCTATTGTCTCTTTATTTAAAAGAAGCTTTTTTTGCCATTTTCATCTTCTATACCAAGCTTTTAGTTATTTTGTATATTTAATGAAAATTTTGTATATTCAGAAGTAAAATCTATTACTCCTTTAGAATCTAATTCTTCTTTTTGCTTTCGGATAACTGATAGAATATTAAATCTTCAGTAAAGTCAGAAGCAGACGATACACCAATTAGTGCTGCAATTCTTTCTGAAAGTTGGAGAGCATTGAGCAACATCAGGCACCGTCTCATGCTTGAACCTATAATTATTTGCTTGCCGTTACGAGTTACTCTAACACAATTTTTTTGCCAATCACTCATCGTGTAATCAGTATAATCAGCACCTGACTAACCAATAACCATGACCAAAGTAATCAAATAACACAAATGCTATATGAGTTTCTTGACAAAATTTTTAAATAGCAGCTGTTCTAATTCCTTTCATATTGAATGAAAATCCACCAAAAAAGACTATGGAAGCTTTTTTTTTTTCCTTTGTAGCTCGCAATGTGCGCTATGTACTTACTGTCTTCATCAAGCAAAGTAATGCTGTAATCCATGTTATTTTGGTATAGCAACCTGACCATCACTTAGTTGACACGCAAGTAACTGACTAGATCTGCAATTTCCTGCGGATTGGAAATACCTACAAATGTCATATGCGTACCTTTTATATAGGCTGTTGAACTCTTTAAGGCAAATAATTCTTCATATCCCCACTTTTCATTCTTTTCAAGCATTGCTTTTGAGTAATAATCTACCACTGCTATCCATTTTTTTCTAATGAATTGATATTTTTCAATATTTTAACATTTATTTAAAATTAGTTTTTGATATTGCTGGGATTTATTTTGTAGATTAATATGCAAAATTCTAGTAAATTAATGAATTTTCATAAAATTTAAATTTGAAATAAAAATCAATTATAATTTTGAGAATGAATTAAAACCGTCAAAAAATAAAAATTGAAATAGTTTTGCTAATCAAATATTGATTAAAACTTAATTATTAAAGCTTATTTTATTATTTATGTTGCCAATTGACACATCGTAAATGACCAGTACTTATGCAACGCTTATAAATTAATCAATTAAGCTCAAAATATCAATTTGTTTGAAGGAATTGATATTTTTCAATATATTAACATTTAATTAAATTAAATTTTGACAATTCCGGCATTTATTTTATAGTTTAATATACAAAACCCTAACATTTCCCAGTTTATTACGCAAAAATCCATACAAATTGTAGGATTTTCACAAAAATCAATTTTAAATTTGAATTAAAAATTAGCATTAATTGTAAAAATGAGTTAGTTCTATGACTAAATAAAAATTTTATTATTTTCACAACTGAAATTTTAATCAAAACTCAATTCTCAAAGTTTGTTTAATTATTTATGCTGATCGAATGACCACGATGTTGTGACCAGTATCTATGCAACGCTTATAAATTGATCAATTAAGTTCAAATTATCTAATTTTTTTTATGAATTGATATTTTTCAATATTCTAACATTAAATTAAATTAAATTTTGACAATTCCAGCATTTATTTTATAGTTTAATATACAAAACCCTAACAAATTATTGATTTTTCAGAAAATTTGATATTTAAATTTGAAATAAGAATTAATTTGAATTGTAAGAATGGATTAAAACCGTGATAAATTAAAAATTTAATTAATTTTGCCTATCAAATATTAATTAAAACTTAATTATTAAAGTTTATTTTATTATTAATGTTGGTCAAATGACCACACCGTAAATAACTAGTACTATGGAACGCTTATAAATTAATCAGTTAAGCTCAAATTATCTATTTTTTTTTTTAAGCAATTGATATGTATAATATTTTAACATTTAATTAAATTAAATTTTGACAATTCCAGCATTTATTTTATAGTTTAATATACAAAACTCTAATAAATCATTAAATTTTCACAGAATTTGATATTTAAATTTGAAATAAAAATTAATTTGAATTGTAAGGATGAATTAAAACCGTGATAAATTAAAAATTTAATCAATTTTGCTAGTCGAATATTGATTGAAACTTAATTTTTAAAGTTTATTTAGTTATTTATGCTGATCAAATGAGCAACCGTAGATGACCAGTACCTGTGCAATGCATACAAATTAATCAATTAAGCTCAAAATATCTAACTTTTTTTAATGAATAATATATTTTTTAACAGTTTTAACATTCAATTAAAGTAAAATTTGATATTACTAGAAATTATAGAAAAAAGTCTAATATACAAAAAAGGTTTTGATTCATTGCAAATCATAAAACTTTCATAAAATTCTATCTTAAGCTTTCAAACAAAAATTAATTTTAGCTGCAGAAATGAATTAAATCTACGACAAATTAAAAATCTTATTAATATCACTTCTCGAATATTAAAAAAGACATAGTTATTAAAGTTTATTTTCTTATTTATGTTGTCAATTGACCACACCGTAAATGACCAGTACCTATGAAATGCACACAAATTAATCAATTAAGTTCGAAATATCTAACTTTTTTTAATGAATTGCTATTTTTTAATAGTTTCAACATTTAATTAAAATCAAAATTGAGAAAACTAGAAATTATTTTCCCGTTTAATATACAAAAACTCTTGCAAATTATAAAATTTTCACCAAAATTGATTTTTAGATTTGAAATAATGCTTAAGCCTAAGCCTAAGTATACCCTAAGCTTAAGCCTAAGTACACCCTAAGCCTAAGCCTAAGCATTATTTCATTATTTAAGATGTCAAATGACAACAATGTATGTGACCAGTTCCTGCACTATGCGTATATAATAATCAATTTTTTTTTATTAAATGATATTTTTTAATACTTTTAACATCCTTTGAAATTAAATTTTGATAATAGTAGGACTTCTTACCTAGTTTAGTATGCAAAACACCCGTACAAATTATGGGATTTTTATAAATGTATTATTTAAATTTGAAATATAAATTAATTTTAATCGTAAGAATGAATTAAAATCGTGAAAAATTAAAAATTTAATTAATTTTGCTAATAAAATATTGATTAAAACTTAATTTCTAAAGTTTATTTTATTATTTTTGCTTGTCAAATGACCACGGTGTGTGTGACCAGTACCTTGAAACGCATAAAATTCAATCAATTATGTATAAAATATCTATTTTTTTAATGATTTGATATTATTTAATATTTTAACATTTAATTAAGATTAAATTTGATAATAGCAGGATTTTTTCCCAGTTTATTACGCAAAAATCCTTACAAATTATAGGATTTTCACAAAAATCAATTTTAAATTTAAATTAAAAATTAGTATTAATTGTAAAAATGAGTTAGTTCTATGACTACTTAAAAATTTTATTATTTTCACAACTGAAATTTTAATCAAAACTCAATTCTTAAAGTTTATTTAATTATTTATGCTGATCGAATGACCACGATGTTGTGACCAGTATCTATGCAACGCTTATAAATTGATCAATTAAGTTCAAATTATCTAATTTTTTTTTTATGAATTGATATTTTTCAATATTCTAACATTTAATTAAATTAAATTTTGACAATTCCAGCATTTATTTTATAGTTTAATATACAAAACCCTAACAAATTATTGATTTTTCATAAAATTTGATATTTAAATTTGAAATAAGAATTAATTTGAATTGTAAGAATGGATTAAAACCGTGATAAATTAAAAATTTAATTAATTTTGCCTATCAAATATTAATTAAAACTTAATTATTAAAGTTTATTTTCTTATTTATGTTGTCAATTGACCACACCGTAAATGACCAGTACCTATGAAATGCACACAAATTAATCAATTAAGTTCGAAATATCTAACTTTTTTTAATGAATTGCTATTTTTTAATAGTTTCAACATTTAATTAAAATCAAAATTGAGAAAACTAGAAATTATTTTCCCGTTTAATATACAAAAACTCTTGCAAATTATAAAATTTTCACCAAAATTGATTTTTAGATTTGAAATAATGCTTAAGCCTAAGCCTAAGTATACCCTAAGCTTAAGCCTAAGTACACCCTAAGCCTAAGCCTAAGCATTATTTCATTATTTAAGATGTCAAATGACAACAATGTATGTGACCAGTTCCTGCACTATGCGTATATAATAATCAATTTTTTTTTATTAAATGATATTTTTTAATACTTTTAACATCCTTTGAAATTAAATTTTGATAATAGTAGGACTTCTTACCTAGTTTAGTATGCAAAACACCCGTACAAATTATGGGATTTTTATAAATGTATTATTTAAATTTGAAATATAAATTAATTTTAATCGTAAGAATGAATTAAAATCGTGAAAAATTAAAAATTTAATTAATTTTGCTAATAAAATATTGATTAAAACTTAATTTCTAAAGTTTATTTTATTATTTTTGCTTGTCAAATGACCACGGTGTGTGTGACCAGTACCTTGAAACGCATAAAATTCAATCAATTATGTATAAAATATCTATTTTTTTAATGATTTGATATTATTTAATATTTTAACATTTAATTAAGATTAAATTTGATAATAGCAGGATTTTTTCCCAGTTTATTACGCAAAAATCCTTACAAATTATAGGATTTTCACAAAAATCAATTTTAAATTTAAATTAAAAATTAGTATTAATTGTAAAAATGAGTTAGTTCTATGACTACTTAAAAATTTTATTATTTTCACAACTGAAATTTTAATCAAAACTCAATTCTTAAAGTTTATTTAATTATTTATGCTGATCGAATGACCACGATGTTGTGACCAGTATCTATGCAACGCTTATAAATTGATCAATTAAGTTCAAATTATCTAATTTTTTTTTTATGAATTGATATTTTTCAATATTCTAACATTTAATTAAATTAAATTTTGACAATTCCAGCATTTATTTTATAGTTTAATATACAAAACCCTAACAAATTATTGATTTTTCATAAAATTTGATATTTAAATTTGAAATAAGAATTAATTTGAATTGTAAGAATGGATTAAAACCGTGATAAATTAAAAATTTAATTAATTTTGCCTATCAAATATTAATTAAAACTTAATTATTAAAGTTTATTTTATTATTAATGTTGGTCAAATGACCACACCGTAAATAACTAGTACTATGGAACGCTTATAAATTAATCAGTTAAGCTCAAATTATCTATTTTTTTTTTAAGCAATTGATATGTATAATATTTTAACATTTAATTAAATTAAATTTTGACAATTCCAGCATTTATTTTATAGTTTAATATACAAAACTCTAATAAATCATTAAATTTTCACAGAATTTGATATTTAAATTTGAAATAAAAATTAATTTGAATTGTAAGGATGAATTAAAACCGTGATAAATTAAAAATTTAATCAATTTTGCTAGTCGAATATTGATTGAAACTTAATTTTTAAAGTTTATTTAGTTATTTATGCTGATCAAATGAGCAACCGTAGATGACCAGTACCTGTGCAATGCATGCAAATTAATCAATTAAGCTCAAAATATCTAACTTTTTTTAATGCATATATATTTTTTAACAGTTTTAACATTTAATTAAAGTAAAATTTGATATTACTAGAAATTATTTCGTAGTCTAATATGCAGAATCTTCTCATAGTAATACCATAAATTATTTGAAACATCAGTTTAAAATGATAAGTTAATATTGAGATGCGAAATTGAAATTTTTTAAAAACAAATCGTAAATCAATAAAATTCTGTGAATCGCTAATACAGAATTGAATTTTTATATCAATTTTAGCTTTAGTACCTTGCAAACTCTTAATGTGAAAAAGAATTTCATAATTATGTGGAATAATGCATAAATATTAAAAAAAGTAAGGAAATGATCGGTAAATTTTTGAATCAAATAATCCAATAAAATATTAGTAGCAATATTGCCAATAGAGCAATACTCATGGAGGCAATAAACAGGCTAATATAATTCAGTTGTTAGTTAACTGATGTCACCAAAATTTAAAACTTAAAATTTTTACAATATGCTAATAATTCATTCAATATTTTATTTACCACTCAACATACAATACTTTATTAAACAAAGTAGACAGGATTATTGAATACTGCACAGATTAAATATTTCAATGACATTTAATTCCAGCTATTCACCGGTTTCTTTTATGCAAATGTTATTCCATTTTATCAACCAAGCCTATGCAACGCTTATAAAATAATCAATCAAGTTCAAATTATCCAATTTTTTTAATGATTTGATTTTTTTAATATTTTAACATTTAATTAAATTAAATTTTGACAATTCCGGCATTTATTTTATAGTTTAATATGCAAAACCCTGATAAATTATTGATTTTTCATAAAATTTGATATTTAAATTTGAAATAAAAATTAATTTCAATTGTAAGAATTAATTAGAACAGTGGCAAATTAAAAGTTTAATTAATTTTGCTTCTGAAATATTATTCGGAACTTAATCATTAAAGTTTATTTTACTATTTATGCTGATCAAATGACCAACCGTAAATGACCAGTACCCATGCAATGCATACAAATTAGTCAATTAAGTTCAAATTACCTTTTTTTTTTTAATGAATTCGTATTTTTCAATATTTTAACATTTAATTAAAATGAAATTTAGCAATGCCGAGATTTATGTCATAATTTTTTCCATTTTATATTTACTTATGAATATTTATTCCAGATATTATTTTAATCAATTAACTTAACGTCTCATCGCTAGTTAAATAATGCAAAATGATAACACAAGCGACATTTCCTCTAAATTCTTTACGACAATTTTTGCCTTTCATCACAGCAATATTCTATGCATTTCATTATCAGATGTCATTTTTTTTTACCTGAACTAAGCAATAAGAAGTGATCTAAGTTTTTAATAATTCGGAGATCAACTGAAATGACTTTTTATGAACTACGGAAGCATCTGTGCGAATATCAAACAATGCTGTTAGCAATATTAATTGATGATTTATCAGTCAGAATGCAAAGGAGTTAATAACATTTTCATGACTATTTGTTTCGTTTGCATTATTTTTTTTCTTTTAAAGATTTCACAATGAGAGTTATTCCTTGCGAACTCAGTCTTTAATCGAAAAATTCAATAAGTTAAAAAAGAGTAGTGAAAACTTATGTGATTAGTGTTGCGGATTTTAATATCGCAAAAGTCTGAAATGCCATATGAGAGTTGAAAATATGATAAGAAATATGTTATATGAAATGCTGCTTATAACGTTTTGTTTCCAATCTTATGTTTAACCTGTAATTCTTTTATATATTGTTTACACGATATCAACTCCTCATTTGGTTGAACTCATTATTGTATCGCCATTAATTGTAATTTTCTTTGAATCTATGAGGTTAACAACTTTTGCTTAATTTATGTCCTTTGCAGTTTGTCAACTAGTAAATAGAATTGCTTGTAAACCAAGTAAAACAACTTTTTGTTAGACCGATTGCTCTTTCGACAGGTCAACCCCTTATTGTAAATCATGTACTTTGTTTGTGCACATTAATTGCTGTATAAGGAAGTCACCCTTGTTGAAGACGGCACTGTTTTTTACCAAGAACCAGGAGAGTTCAATTGTTCTCTATCAAGTTACTGTACTACTGCTTCTACCAATTATATCTACATCGAACGAATCTCCCCGAAATCAACAACTCTCCCAAAATAATAAATTAAATTTTCAAATCATCCACTACAACAAGAGCTTTTTTGCAGACATAAAGTGACTACCTTCTCTTTCCTTCAGTCTAATGATGCTTATCGCTTAAGATTTAAATTTATCGTAAATTAGCTTTAATTTTACTTTAAAAGACTTAATTTGCCGCAAATTTATTGTTTTAATTATCAAAATAGTGGTAATAGTATCAATTTTAATAAATATCATAGCTTCATTTTTGGAGCAAAAAGCATTAAAATGGTTGAGTAATGAATGTTATTAGTGATAAATTATATTTTTTTTCGTTGCTAATGTTTCTATAAAATTTATTGTTTAAATTACCAAAATGATGTTTGAAATATTTTTAATGAACATACTGTTGAATGAATTTTGCTGAAATGAAAATAAATTCAGAATGGTTAAATGGTGCATATGTTTATCACTGTATCACTTAATTAGTATTTGATGTCAATATTTATCTAAAATTGATTGTTACTATCACTAAAAAGACATCATTTTCTCAAAAGATGACGGATATGATATGATATGATATAAGGAATAACCATTGGAGTGGAAATAGAATTCAAATGATTAGATACTCAGTAATCCATCAGTGAAAGTATATGGAAAGATGGATCCTCAATTTTTTGTATAAGAAAGCAATTCGATTATTTAGACATCTTAAGGCGCTAACAACAACTGTTGCTCAAATTCTTACGCGAAATCTGTATCAGATTCATATGTACGAACAAGACTGTGAATTTCCCAGCAAAAATTTCTAATTCATCAAATTTCTACTTTTTTTACGCAAAAAATTGCTCTGACATCTTTGCACATAATATCATTCATGGTGATTTTAATTGTCGCCGACTTTCTCAGTAGTGAACGAACTTCATTCTGTCCTCCACTTCTAAGTAAATAGATTTTTTCACTATGGAAATGCATGTCGCACAAAGAATTCCAACTTGAAGCTTTGTTTCTTAATTTGTGTACGTGGAAAGTCATTTAAATGCCAGGTGTTATGGATTTCCACTGACAGATCTGTAACCGAATTCAGTTGAATTTATTTTCTCAACGCATATCATTCTTCTTAAAGTTCTTTGAATTTTTTGTTACATTTTTTTCATACTTTTAATTTTGAATTTTGACAACAGTTTGAATTTGGATATTTAAGTCCTGGCCTTATATTAAGCCATTAACCTTTACAGAAGTAATTTAATATTCTAATTGTTGACATAATTCATAAGTAAGTATTATTATTATCATTCATTTCATCAGGACATTTAACGACGGCCATGAGCTCTTTTCGTTGTGACTGTGTAATTCGATGTGTCATCGTTAATGCCCTGGAACCAATACCGCCGATATTTTCACTGAGTTTTGGACAGCAGGAACCAAAGGTTAACAAAAATTCTCGCCTGCAAATTAACAAATTAATGATTGAAATTATCTAATACTTGAAGTTTTAACACTATAAGCTTAATTTGAAATCTTGAAGTAATTGAAGTAATGATGAAATCAGAGTACTTTAAACTTGCCTAAACACATTACTCATTAAGGCACATAATATGAAATTGAAGCTGCTATTTATCAATGATAATACATCAATAAAATCACCGATATATTGCATCGCATATCGAATACCTGGTTTTAAACCTGCAATTGGACAGTTGAACAGGTATGAAAAATAAGAACGATTCTAAGAAAGAAGTAATGCAAAAAATAGCGACGTAGGTGTCAACTGATTATTTCGGTGTTTAAAACTTGTGGCTATTGAAGTCGTTCATTACCTGCCATAATTAATTGAATAAGTTACCTATAGCAAAAACAAGGATTCCTTGTGGTAATTCTGTAACCAAGAAAACTGCGACAATAGCGGTTAACATGGTGGTGGTACGTTCGGCCTGAGATTTATCACCTGTTTGACCGCGACATAAGCGAATACGTCGTTCGCGGGCTTCAATTAACATACGTACCAGTAATGTCATAAATATTGTCAACATCAAGCATGGTACCAATTTCAATACCAAACCTAAAATGCACTATCATCTTTGCAACAGAAGTTCAATCTAACAGAAGCAAAATAATGTTAAATGTTAGAAATACTGATTGTTCCTTCTGGCTACTTTCTATAATTTCAACTTTGAGAAGAAAAGAGAATAAAATAAAAGTGATTGAAATGGTATCGTTTATCCATTCCTTTCTCTTGTTTCTTGTCGATCCCTCGGTTTTTTCTTTTCTTTCTCACAATTTCATTAAATCAAGGTTGAAATTTTAAATTGGTCAGTCCTCAAGAGAACTTTAAGTAGAATGGGAAAAAAAGGATGTCTTGTTTTTCCATTCAGTAAAAGACAAGTCCATAGGCCTTTAATGTATGCTATCTAGAGATGCTTTGAGCCTTAAGCCGTCTTTTCTTGATTTGTTTACCAGCAAAACAAGCAAAGCAATTTAATCTCTGTTCCACTTCCCTCTGTATCGTCAGGCTCTAATTTAATGCAGTTGAATTTATTTCTCCTTGAACATAATTCACAACCGACAACCTTAGCATCTGCGGATAAACGAATTAAAATTGTAAACGTTAATACCAAAAGATACAGGTACGCATTTGATAAAGATATGATTCGTTGGATCACTATGGTGACACTACTCTAGCCATTGTGACGGTTCGATGGCTTCATCATTCATAGCAAAATATTCAACAGTACAAAAGTCAGAAGGTCAAATGTAGTAAATTTACGAGAAACCAACCAGCAGCCCAGAAATTAAACCTTTCCCAGCGACAAGTCCACCATGCTGGTTGAGCAATATTATAGGCATGAACTTTTGGATTATCCACATAGTAGTGGGCATATGCAGATTGATTTGATGTACAATATGCTGGCACATTCAAGTAACCGCTGTCACGGATCTGAAATTAGATTTGCATCGATGACACATGTTAAATAATTGTCGAATGAGTGGGTCAATTGGAATGATGACGCCGTGATTTCTTCCACTGCCCCCTTTGTTAATGCTACTGATCATACGAACTGATATTATGCTAGAATTGATACTAACTAACAATAATAGTAATAGCAATTATGTTATTAATGTTATTATTATTGTTATTATTATTATTGCCATCATAATTATCGCCATCATTATCACGAATAACGAAATGATTCACCTGATATCTTAACATATTTGGCAGAGAACCAAGAAGTGAAATAACGATAGCAGCAATTATTGCGATAAATGCAGCTCTGAATGTATTAACAATGGGTATTTTCGATGTTGACGTTGCACTTCGTTTCAACACCAAATATCGCAGAACAGCCATGTTAACAGTTAGCCAAAGAGATGATGAATGGACAAAGACAGATAGAATGGCATAAAAGTAGGTGAACACTATCCAGAAGTAGGTAAAGTACCACGGGTGGCATATCTCAACCTGGAATGAACCTTTCATCTCTTAATTTCATTTCCACTATTGACTTATCTCTATTTCCTCCTTTGAGCTACCAGAAACCTATTTGATTTGCAACTGATTTCATGTACCGATTCTTTTAATTTAGTAAGTATAAATAAGTGCAGTTTTTGAAAGTCTAATTGTTTGCGAAATTCTTTAGATCTATAGCTATGTAGTTACACCTTTGTTAAGAATTTCTCAATGATATTGATTTGATGTTTGAAGCAGTCCAATCATGGGAAATTGAAAATTGTTTTATTAAATATTTTATTGAGTTTCCTGTTCAAATTTTTTGTGAATTTTTTGAAATTTTTAATTCCTTATAGTTTTTTGGACAATTTTCAAAAAAGTGTTTTGCTTTTCATTCCTTTCAAAGTCGCTAAATAAAGCAAATGAAATATTTTTCTTTATTGGAAAAAAGAACAAAGAAATTAATAACAATTCTTAGAATTAATTTCAAATAAGGTTGAAGTGATGTTTTGCGAGATACGATGCTCTTTCAGAAAACACAAATTAGTGAAATTAATGAGTTTTTGTTTTTCTTATCGCTAGATATCAGCCAATAAACTGACACCAATCAAAGAGACTGTCAATCTTTTTTAATATTAGATTTTTGCTACATGACGTCAGCCCTTTTTCCTTTTTCTAACGTCAGCTTTTCAAATCCTTGGAAGGATTAACCGATCAACTCAAATACACTAATTGAATTAATTAATTAGTTTTAGCATCATTGTCCTTCTGAAAATAGAGACGCATCTCCTTATTTTTATTTGAACAAAAAGCTAGTTCCTTCTGGAATCACTCTCCCACACATTGAAAAGAGATGAATAGTGGAATGATGGCTGCATTCATAATTCCGTCTAGATAATCAGACTACCTAATGGTAAGAGTATCAAGTGCTAAGTGTACTATCAAGTTTGGTGAAGTGTTAATGCTCTCCTTTTTGATTTCATTTGATTTTAAGTCTAATTATATTTTCAACAAGTTTCATAATAATTTACAGCAAAGTTACCTGTTTAAAAATGAAATAGGAAGCCATCAGCGTCATGTCGCATAATGCAATTGCAATTAAGAAGGCGTTGAAATGATTCTTGCGCATTGCTGGTCGCAGTAGTACCACGACAATTGCAAGATTGGCGAATACTCCAGTGATGCACAAGAAATGGTAAAGGAATATGTGGATAGGTAAATAAGCACTTGCCAGTGGAATAAGAAACTGAAGAAAGTTGAATGTTAGCTCTGCGACAGTTTAGAAAAAGTGATGATGAAAAGAAGAAACATCTAAGGATAAGTTAGTCAACTGTAATACTTTGGTAGTATCGGCAGCCTTCATCAAAACAAAGCTCTTTTTCTAAGCTTCCTAATTCATCCTTAATTTTGGCAGTTATGCTTAATGGAGCATTAAAAATTACTGGAACAAATTAAAATCCAATTTTTCAGTGTTTTCACTTCACATAATTAATTTTTCTAAATTTGCCATAATTTCCCGCACACATAATCATGTTTTTTTGAAAAAAAACGATCAGGACAGTTCCTGAATAACTATTCTTCTTGCCTAGAATTTTGCTTTCCATTCTTAATTAGTAAAGAGCGCCAATCGCTTATTTTCAAATAGACCATTCAATTAAGCTTAACTCAAATGTCAACCAGTGGTGCATCAATTTTTGATGAGCCATCTTTTTGAATGCCACCACCATTCCAGCCCACACTCTGAAATGTCAACATGCTCTACTAGTGAAGTGTCAATAATTCAAAGCATCCAACTGCATCTGTCCCTTCATTTTCCTTTTCAACAATTTAACTCTAAATGGATTGTAGTATTCTTTCCGAAGTGCATAGCATAGATGTTGTTTACAAGCCTCAAAACAGAGAAAAAATTCTCAAATAATAACAAACAATCCATAATAATAAACAATCATCGGATAGTCAGTCTATACCTTGCACTGAAGCAAATTTCTGTTTCATTCTTAACAAAATTTTTCCCTCAAGGTAAAAAAATGCTTTTAAGTCTTTTAAAAGTCATTTACTTTCTTCTTATCAAAAATTGCTCGGTTATAAATTAAAATTTTAACTAACCTGCTACTCAAATTCGAATAACTAGACCTAGCTTGATGAATGTTTGTAACTTCAGAAACTTTAAGAACCGATTACTTCTTTCAAGAATAGAAACAAATTCAAAAGTTTCCTGTCTCTCCTGTTTCTTCTCCGAGGCGCTTCTTTCTCACTTCTAACCCAGATTTACTTACTTAGTACCCTTTTATTTTTACTTACCTTTTTGGCTTCAATCTATTAACGAATGGAATATGCTCGCAAGTGTATACATTTCAATCAAAATAATGCATCGATGTCCGTCGTCTTTTCGTCTCTCTACTAATAATTATATGTCACAGTCCTACTCTAATATGAATGCGCCACATGTTGGATTAATTTTGAAAAAGTAAGTAAAGTAAGCTGAAAACGATATTAAAAAAGCTGCAAAAAAATTTGATGGCTGATTATATTGAATTCTAAAATAGAACAGTTAATACATATTTTAGGCATTTTTGCAACGTTTTAACTAAGGAATATACTTTTGCTAAAGAGTCTGTCTAGATAAGAAACATCGAATCAAATCTTTATAAATTGGAAAGAGGCTGTGCTGTTACATTACATTACAACGTCAATGATCAACATTATCGAAGTATGTTAGATTCTTCGAATTGTACTATAATATTCGAAATTCAATAATATTTCATTCTATCATTTTTTTTTTAAATTTGCAAAATTTTTACAATGCAATAAATCTGCAGAATTTTTAATTACTTTGTGAAATTTCTTGTTCAGCCATTGATTTTAATTAGATAATTCCTTTTATGTTCGTTTATTGCAGGTTCATTATTATCGAACTTTGTTTGCATGACAACAAATTGCTCACATAGGCTTTGCTTTTCAATTCGTAAACAAGAAAAAAAAAAACTATTTATTCTTATTTTCCTAAGCTAACGAAATTTAATTAAATTTCCAAAAATCTTTGTTAAGTTCAACAAAATGCAATCAGTGAAGTAGGCAAGAAAGTGTCATCTTTCAATAATTTACAAGCAAAATTCATCAAAATGACAAATGAAATTTGGACGGAAAAAGGAAAGGAACCCATCATCTCAGCTTTATGGAAGCATTTGCATTTCTTATGTCACAATATTTTATATGCATGCACTAGGCATAAATCTGTGAAGTGAGATTTAACTGGAATATGTCTGAATTTCGACGGTTTAAATAGCAAAAGGTCGTTTGGAAGTGATTCTGTATGCATCCGAATGTACACAGTTTCCGACGGCGATATTCTGAAGGATGGTTGAAATGACTGTTGGTGTATCATGTATAAATTCAACTAACCTTATGTTCAATTGCACTTTCTTCAGTTTTCAACGTTATCTTTTTCAAAAACACACTAACTTCCGAAAGCAAAACGGTCAAAGGAACAAGCGCCGTGCGCAATATGTAACCGTAACAGTGCATTCTTCCGACTCCACTGTCCAAAGAATAGTTGATAGTTGTTACATGAGATTGCTTTAAATTGATAAATTGATGACAAATATTACTTATTTATTATTAATCGGCCAGAAAAGGAATTTTTTTCGAATTTGCTGATTGTTCACGTTGCTATCCTTTTCATTCTTACAATGCCAGCCGGGCGGTCTTATCTCATTTATGTGAGATTTGTAGTAAAGGAACGGATGCTGATAATTAAATCAATTTAACAGCTTTGTGTATATTCTATGGAATTTAAAGCAAATCAAACTCTCTTTGGGAATTTTCCATTTTTCAGAATTCTTTTTGCATTGGGTCTTTAAAGCAGCAAAAAGTTTTAAAAGATAAGCAATGCAAAAAAGGAATCACGGAATTATTAAAATCGTGAAAACAAGCGAAGGAATTTAAATCCTTCTCACATAATTTTATAAATCTTGATGCAATTTTGAATAGCAATATCAACAGATGACAGTGTGTTAATGATAATCTCGTTGATAATTATGATAAAAACAGTGATGATCATTATAAGTAGTAATAAAATCTCACAAGGTATCATCGGCAGAGATATATGATTTCCGCATAGGGAAAAAGTAGTATGAAAGTTTTCTGTAGATAGTGAGCTGAAGATTTCTCACTGTGGAATTCGAAAATTTTTAGAAACATTTGTCAAGTTTGAAAACCAATAACCAATAATGGAGTTTCTTTCTAATTAGAACTGGGCTGTTTTTTATTTCAGCAAGATATACTAAGGTTACTGAATAAAAATTTCCTACATTAGCTGTCACAATCATCGTTAATCACTGTTAATGGCCAGCTAGTCGGACTCAGTTCAATTGAAAATGCAAAATTAAAACGGAAATTGTTTGTTAGTTACCGAACTGCAACATTAAATGGAGACTATTTGTTAATTATCAAAATTTTCCCTATTTTAAGTTATTTCTTCCAAAAATGTTTTAATGCATTCTTCTCCCTAGAAAAGATATCTGTAAAATTTTGTCGTGCACAGCCTATCTTCCAGCCAATTTCACAGTGATCTGAGGCTTTACACTCCATTTTCACTTTTCATTCAAGAAACTGTGTGGAAACTAATCTAATCTGTCAGGTAAAGGAAAGAAGGGACAGGTTTTATTCACAGAGAAGTAATAATTGAATTGAAAAATGAGTTCTCTATAACAGTAAACAATAAGACTAGAAATTAATCTCATTAACTGTTTCCACTACTCATTCCATCCTTCTAGTAACATTTAATTAAAGAACACTTCATCTACTAAATTTCTTATCCATATCCTAACAGATTCGCAACTTTTTCTTGTCTCTGCATAGGTTCAACGAGGATGTAAACGGATTTTTGAAAGGACGCAAAAGGAAGATGGTCTAGCGATTGAGGAGTGGATTGTTAGGTAACGTTGCTAGTTGCTCCTTCCATTTCTCTTCACATAATAAGTTTCAGTAGCATTTACAATGAAATCAAAATTTCGGGAATGAAAAACAAGGGATTTGCAAAAAGCAGAGACAGCTGAAGCAAAAATTCTTTTCGTATCTAAAACTCATCTCGAACTCACTATTTGGTTCATTTTGTTAAAAGACTCGGAATTAGTCTCAACAGACTCTCAAAATTACGAACAATTTAATTAACCAGTTCTTTTCCAGTTATCTCATTGAACAACATAGTCATTCTCAATTTGAAACAATGTTTCAAATTTTTAGTTAATTTTTCACTTTAATTTATTTTCGACCGAGTTCCCAGGAAGAAATACATTTTCGTTTTGAATGATACCAAATAGGTTCATATCGATTTCTTTTTAAACACACTTCCCATTCCACTTTCTTCTCCCTCGTCACCTCTTCTTAACAAAAAACAAAAAAGACAGCAAATCAAGACCCTTCTAGTCTCTGTCAGTAGGTATTGTTGCCGAATGTCACACTCATTGATGGTTCACTATTTTTCGCTTGAAGGAAGGGAATCTTTTAATTACCATAGAATACTTGCATTATTGATGAAATTATTAGCTATAGAAAATGGTGAAAATCGTTTTCGTATGAATATTTAATTGTTCATAATTCTTGCAAAAATTCCAAGATTCCCAGTAATTCCTTTCCTAACAATTCATTCAAATATATTTCCTTTTACACAAACATTTCATCGGGGAATTCACCAACACTATAAATTAAAAGAATTCTTTTTCGGCCATCTCAGTGGTCATTTTTCATCTTGTTTCAAAAACTATTTAGATTTCTGAAAAACTACGTATTGAATAAGTTTACTTCCATTATATTTGTAGTGCGACGCGACCACATTTTGGAGGAACATATTTCGGTATGACACATTTTCTCTGTCACCGCTTAAAATCGCTTGCATGCTACTCTAAAAAAATCGTTTCTCTTCTTTTAACCAGATTTGCACCATCTAAGCATTTCCTTCACCTGTGGGTTTTTGATGAATGAATGTGATGTAGGAAAAGTAGAGCCAGTGAAGAGGACTTCCGCAAATGCTGAAATTTTTGTATTCTTTTGGCTTAGTAATGTTTAGCCTTAACTAACTCGTTATTTTTGTTTCCTGATGGAATCATGTGTGATTATTACTAACGGTGATTATCACTAATGATGTGATATTAATCAGTATGAGGCAAACCTGACGTTACTTCCAATAAGTAATGGACGTTTTTATATCAAACATTAAAATTCAAAAAGCAAAAGAAGGAACTGCTTTACTTCCTCTGTCAACCGACTGCTGAAGCAATGGATGGCAGGAGAAATATCAACATTTTTGAATATTTTGAACGCATCTGTCAATTCTTTTCTGGCAGTGAGCCACTTAAGCGGAAAACAAAAAAATGTATGAAATTACAGCAACTAGTTACGATCAATCCAATTAGCTATCACTTTTCTGAGCAATCCCAAAACAAAAACGAGGAGACTAAACGATAAGTGAGTGACACTTAGTGCCACTGCTGTAATATAGACTGTGCTGTGTTCCACTGGTCAACGGTGATGCATCGGTGATCATCCATCAGTTTTAGAGGCTTGGAGTTGAAGTGTCAAAATATGAAGTGGGGAGGGATGTTTTGTTGGACCTTGCAAAGTGGAAAGTGAAATATCTTAGTGAAAATGAATGAGTTTACACTCATAAAATGTTAAATGAAGATGAATCACACAGATATAAGAAGAGAAAAAGCAGAAAGTGAGGCGGTGATTGACTAGAAGAGCTCGTTGAGATCATTATGTGATCGGAAATGATTTATTTCCTTTACTTACTAGTGAGGAAGAAGGATGATGAATATTGCTGGATAACATAAGTGTCACTTCTTCCTATCTATCTCATCAACACTCCTACCAAGTGTCCTTCTTATTTTTGACCACGCCAATTTCTGTTTGCTCTTCCAATGGGCACTCTTTTAAGAGTACTGCTGACACCATCCTCATGGCAGTCAAGAGTTTCATACTCTTCCGCATGGAATATCTCTTCCACACTCCATTCAGTGCGGAGAAAAAAGGAAATTTGTAAATGAGTATATGATTTGTGATATTGTTCGTCTCTTTATCCCTTCCAACAGCTGACACAACTGACCAACCAGGACAACTCTTGAGTTTTACCCCTGATTGGTTGCTTCTAGCATTAATTACCGGACAGAATTGATTTAACTTCGAAAACTGTTTCAAGAAAAATGGATAAATGTATGAAATAAGATACTGGCATATGTTGGGATATTACTGTGGCATTGCTATTTTCCTCACATCCCTTCTCTCTGCTTTTGTAAATCCCATAGGAATAAAGGAAAGGAACTGTGGCTCAGAAATTTCTTAATTTCCATTCTTTCTGCTTTCTTTATCTGCTAAACCTTATAAAAGTTAAAAGAAAAGGACATTTGTTATTTTATTCTCAATAAACCAATCTTTAATCCTTCACAACCCTTTCCTTTTTCCTCGTCCTTGTTTCTACCACACAATAATTGAATTTATTTCCGTTCTGTTAAATGAGATTGAATAGTGGTTGAATAATAATTCCTTGAATGCATTTCAAGAAACATCCCTCGTTCGTTTAAATCAGTAAAAATGATAACGAATGTGTTCATCACTGTGGGAAGATATGATAAATCTGAAAAGGAATCTTTTTCATTTCACTATAGTTTTCACCAGTCTTCTCCAAATTTCAATTTTCCGTCACAAATTTTCAGTGTCAAAATTTCAGCTTCTCAATAACAGTTGGCAAATGTGCACAAATAAGCAATTATTTTTAATCACCTCTAAATTTGAATGGAATTACGGGTAGCGAAGAAAGGCTACTGTTTCTACCTAGTTCATATTTTATTTAAGAATGAGTAAACGGTTAAGAATGAATGTGGCAATTAAAAGGAGGTGTGGTGGCGGAAATTGAACAGAGTTATTTCTCTTTATTCATTTTCAGCATATAGTATGCTCAATTCTTGAGTAAATCAATCCTACTGAATTTAAATTTGAAATGAAATAATTTCACTCTTCTTCACAGTCTCAGATATACATAATATTAAATTAGTATGGAAATAAATTTTAAAAGTAGCGAAAAGAATCGAATAGAAGCAATTACTTTAAATTCTTATTCTATCGCATCTCGTTAAAATACGCCAAATACATATTATCCACAATTAATCTTCCAAAACTGAAATGTGTATCAAATCTAAGTCTAATGAATCACAAAAAAAAAAAAAACAGTTACCTATCTAATCGCCCAGAGGAAATCTCGCATTAAACAAATAGCGCTAGAAATTTTGCAAATTAACGATTTAAAATATTTATTTTTCATTTCAAACATGCATTCGGCAAATTTTTCGTTCGTCCGAAAAAAGTTGGTTGTAAAACTGAACTCATTTGCTTGCATACTTTTAAGGTCAAGAAATAAGAGGAAGAGGGAGATGTGACGTTTCTTCAGGATGATATTCAAGAAATAGTAAAACAATGAGATATGAAGAAAGTTTCAGAAAATGGGAAAAAAATAGGAAAATGTGAAAATTTTTATCGAAAGAAAAAAAAAAAGGAAAAAGAAATGAGAGTCATCCGTTGGGAGGTAATTCATTGAAATTGAACCGGTCAATCGCTTACTTTTTTTTCAAGCTTTTATCATCAGCACAAAAAAAAAAGTGAAAATAGACCGGTAGATCGTTTGCTTTTCTCTTTAGTACAGATGAAATGAAAATGTTAGCGTTTACGAATTTTCATGCATATTCGACAAGAAAATCTGCAAAATGTATAGCGAAGTAGACAATCAGCTAATTCATTTAGTTAATGATCAGTTAATCCTGTTTTATCAGCTAAATTCTTCTTTCTTTCCCGACTCTCACTGAATCTCTACTGCCTGCTAAACGCAATTCCGTAGAAATAGATGATACCTTATCAACACGATTCATCTCCTACAAAACTGGGAGCTTCTTAACTTGCCATGCAAACTGTAAGCATGCAATGGCAGTTGATAAAAAGGAATTGCAAGTGTACCTAGTGATATTGCAAGAGTATGCACTATTTACTTCCTGCTGCTATTGCCTTCCAATTTGTCATTTAAAGCGCACTTTTCCAACTGCGCACAGAATTCACTATGTTTGATAGCAGATTCCTTCTTAGAGCGACGTAATGAAAATGTCTACAAGAAAGCTAAGTTATTTTTAGCAAAGCTTTTCACTTCTTCAAGAGACAAAAAGCCTAATTCCTGCACAACAATTAAATTCTGTTTGCACTCATTTAGTGAGTTCCATTTCTAATTAACACTCAGCAGAGGATGACAAAGTGTTACCGCGGGAACTTCTTTCACAGCTACCAAAGAATAAGGAAGCAGCGCATAAGAAAAATAAGAAAAATGAAAACAGGTAGCTATTTTAGCAAGATTTGCAAGCAAGCCGGTGTATAAATTCCCTCATAACATTGTAATCCTGAAAGCTGGTCATTCCAAGTGATGAATCCTGCTATATTATTCATTTCCGCTACTGTTTCTTGTGTTTGTATTATTTAGTCATAAAACAGAATATTCAATAGGTACAGACACTATGAAAAAAGACATGAAAGGTAAGTTTTGCCGAGTAGTGCTCACAACTGTACAAGTAGCCAATGGTCAGTTTCAGTGCAGCACTGTTCACATCATTTGGCTTAGAAGAAAGAGGGATGAGTACAATATCATCCATTCTTTCAAAGTCGGGCGGTAAGGACAAAAGCAGAAGAAACAATACACTAACCTTAGCATAGTACAATCTTGTCTCCTCGATCAACGATTCATTGAAACTCATACAAGTTGGCATAGCTGCTAATGACGTTGGAGGCCGGACCGGATAACCACTATTTGTAGCAGATAATAGGAATAGCAGTAATAGGTGTAGCAGCTAATTGCTGGGTTAGTTAATTAGTTAGTTAGTTAGTTAGCTAGCTAGTTAGTTAGTAGGTAGATAGGTAAGTCAATTAATTGAATAGTAGAAATGGCAGTAGCAGTAGCAGTAGCAGTAGTAGTAGCAGTAGTAGTAGTAGCAATCGTAGCACCTCATTTTCGCTATAAATGACAGTACTCAGCTCAGGAAACGACTACACTAATTACCGGGATGATTGATTGTAGAAAGGAAGAATATCTGTCCTTTAATATGTGCAGCGATGCAATTGAGTGAAGAGATTTGTGACACCTTTCATTTAGATGGTCTAAAATGAAATTCCTCTTGTCACCTGTGCGCATTATAGGTCACAGTCATCACAACATCTGCGACATCTCCTTCAGCAACACCTATCATCCGTAACATAAGCTTAAATAATCGTAAAATGCACTATGAAACATTGTATTTCTTTAAATAAAAAAATGTGCAAAGAGAATTATGGAATTGTGGGAACACTTTTCTTAAGAACAATTCAACAAAAACTGTGAAATTCAGATCGAAAAATGAATTAACCAAACAATATCTTTGCTTTTTCTTGATATTGCAGTTTGAATGGTCAAGGAAGAAAACAAAATTTGAGCATCTATTCTAATGATGATTATTCTGAACACTGCTCGGAATTTTCAAACAACTTGTTCTAATTTTGAGTATTTAAAAAGTTAGCGATAATTAAAGATAAAGGACTATGATGAGAGGGGAGAAAAAGGGAAGGAAATGCACGAATTGAGGACAGAAAAGAAAATAGATATAGAAGCTGTCTGGCAAATCTCTAAGATCGAAATACAAAGATAAGTTAATAAATGATGATGATGAATCGTTTCCGGAAAGATAAATTAGAGGTGTTTCAAAATGGAAAATGGGAGGAACAATGTGCATGAAGTGGACATTAGGATTGAGCAGTAATGATACAGTTACTATTGTCGAGAATATCAATCATGTGACCATCACCGCTGACAATTTCTCAGGATGAAAACGAAATGCTTCTCCCGATCTGAACTGAACCTCCTCTCCATCTCAACCTGCATCACAATCACATCTCCAACACCACACAACACTTCGTCTCCCTTCTTATCATCCCTCTGCCCACCCACCCACTTACTATTGCATTTTGAGAAAATAAATGTTACAACAACGCATTCATTCGATCATGAATTCGCTCCGCCTTCTGAAGCAATTAATTATAAGCAGCGGTAAAATTGAAGACGAATAATGACGACAACATCTATGACAATTACAAGATGCAAATGACAACAACAGCGACTCTCATAATGGCAACGACAACGACAATGACAATGGGGATGACGATGACGATGACGAATGACGTTATCACAAATCTTTTCGAGCTCAGTTGGTGAGATGACACGCACGAGAGCTATTTACGCACCTGCTTATGAGACATACTTACTCTCCCATCTTTTTTCTTTCGTTGTAACATGAAGGAAGGAAGAAAAGGTAAGGACCAATGCTTCTTTCGCACCAATCAATCCCGTCTCGTCGCAGTCCTTATGCTTCATCGATCCCGAGATATGCTCTGCAAATCTCGGGAGTATTGGACGGACATTTGTTGTCCAATTGTGTCATAAAAGAGCAGTATAAAAGGGAAATACTGCTAAAGCGAACATTTCTTCACTAACTCTGTATGGCTACTGTACTTGAAAATGGAAAATTGATTGATTGGTCGACTTAATTTTCTTGTTACGGATAATGGCAGTCGATCTAGTCGATCAGTCCATCAATCAATCAGTGGTCAGTCATTGCAACGAAAACGATTTTAGGGCAAGCACTTCAATTTTTAGCTATGTAAGCAGGAAATACGAAAGCCTATTGACGAGAGTTTCACGTAACTTTTTGTATATAATACTGATCATTCCTTATGATATTAAAACATTCCCATTATTTTTTACGAGCTTTAGTGGAGGGCAAACATTAGCTGGGCAATGTCCATCTTTAATGGCAAGTGTCCATCTTAATCCACACTAGTCAATAATCTGAGTGAAAAAAGTTAATACAAATGATGATTTCAACAATGCAGCAGCGATGTGATTGCATTGATGGCACAAGAAATTCGCCAAAAACCAGGGCCAGATTAGGCCTCAACTCAACTCAGAGTTTTTTTATAAGAAGGTGGGAATCGAAGGAATGGAATTCTCTGCTCATCTCAAAAACGCTTATGTTGCTGGATTCGCTGGGATAGGAAGCTAATTAAATATAAGAAAAAAATGCAACTAATAGTAACCAATTTTGCATCCCATCCTTCTGTTTCGGGAAATTCACTTATTAAATAGAACTCAATAATATTGAATTCGCCATCAGCAGTAAATGCGTTAAAGTGTGGAAATGCATTGCAGCCTATCACAGAACATTTCGGGAGCCTTAGGATTGCTTTGTCCCTTGGCACATCGATTTTCCTGTAGATGGAACAGTTCCTGTAGATGGAGCAGCATTTCAAGGTGTCATGCTGCCTGATATGACACGTTGATGTCCATGTTTGACCAGCATTTAACTGAGTTCAATTAAAGTGAGACGGAATAAATTGAGCCGAAACAAATCAATTTGAACTGCACACATGAAATGTGGAGCAAATGAAATAAATATCATAGACTGCTGAGATGCAAAGTATATTAAGTGAAAATAAAAATAGACTAAACGAGATTAAATCAAGTAGAATTTGAATTAAATTAGATTTGAGCAAGGCAAATTAAAATAAGGTATGAATTAAAATGCATTTAAACTTAAAGGAAGCAAACTGATCCTGTTTCAGTACAATTGAAGTAACTGCAATCGGGAGTATAAAATTAAATTAAAATTAGAAGCAAGCATGAAGCATTAGGTCTTCAATTAAATTTGTTCCTATTTGGCTACACCAGTTGTTTATAACAAGGAAAACTCTTATTTTGAAATTAAATTATTTGACAATCGTTAGACAATTTGTTTGTATTACCCACTTTCTTACAGGAATTTTTGATGGTAAACAAGAATTTATCCTTGTCCACACATCTAACTTGACCCTCCAGTTCTTCTAATTGTCAGAATAAATTTCGACTGATAGTCTAGCCCACATATTACACTATCAGGGCAGTTTGAATCAGTTTTGTTCGAAAGTTCAAAAGAAAGAAGCGCAAGAAATGCTTTCTCAAAATGTTGTGCCACCAATAATTTTTTTTTCTGAGATAAAATCCAGAAATCTTCCTGCCGTTACTGCTGTCGAAGCGAAGTCATTATCCGCAAATCGGATATGTTTTAGCCAGAACATTAAATGTAACTTTAATTCCTAGAAGTGCTTTTCTCTCTAAAGACAAAAAAGCGCATGAAAATCAATCAGATTATTTCAATAGCCCTAATGAATACCAGTAATACTTTTTAGTTCTAATGCAAACCTAATCGGTGCCACTTAAGTTTCTCTCATTCTGTTCGGATATTGCAGTTATAAGTTTGACGATTGCTGCAATGATCACAAAAATGATGATAACTTTCAATAAATTTCAAATGGTTCTTTCAAATTGTTTGGATAAAGTCAAACAATCGCATTTGCGCTGCTCGTCCTGGCAGAAAAAGCGAAGTAAACGTTCAGATTGAAAATATCCATCCTCCTTCACATTGTCATGACGGTGAAAAGTTTGAAAAACGCTCGTCGATTCTGCAAAGCGCTTCACTAAGGAATTTCCAGTTGTCATCATTAATTTGTCAAGATAACCAAAGCTATACTTAAAAGCTATGCTTTCTGCTAATTTCGCTTGGGAGTCCAAAGTTAGCTTTGATTTTCCTTAAATTTGTAGCCTCTAAGAGACTGATAATTGTCTACCTGATGTCAAGGAAATCAGTATCAATGTATCTTACGTTATAGCGAATCACTTCACATTACCTTTTGCGCTTTTATTAATTCCTGTTCAACTTTTTCTCTTCCGTATTATCATCTTCTCTATACGGCATAGTTTAATATTTCAGTAGCGGTGATAATATGCTTCAACTCATTTCAGGTCTGATAGGTCTTTTGACCAAATATTTATCAACCTGTGTTGTTTCAACCTTCTTTATTTTATTCACTTTAATTGTCTCATTTTAATTCTGTTCAAGCCACCATCTTAGCTTAGTGTTCTATTTCAGTCCAGTTCAGCAAAGTTTAGTACTGTTAAGACGGTTAGATCACGTTTAATTTGATACCGGAATAGTAATTTGGAATCCAAAAGTTCAATTTGCCATAACCCAAATTGCAACCCAAAAGAGAACGTATTTTTTCCTTTTAGTTTTTTTCTTGCATTCTTTTCTTTTGATATTGAACTTATCAACTATTTTGATATAAAATGATCGATTTGCTTATTGCGTTTGCACTATTCGTCTTTTGTTGTATCCATGGTTTCCTGTCCTGAAATGAGTGACAGTAGCTGTTGCATTGAATGGGCCAAGCTACCTTCCTCAGGTGTTATTATTTCATTACCCAGGTGTGTTGAGGAATACAAATCTTCATGTGTTAAATTAAGCATCAATGATCACTGAAATAAACTTAGAATTTCCCCTACACAACACAGCAAACAGCAACAAGCCCAGCCCAGTCCAGCCTAGCCCAGCACCACCAGTGTCGTTTTTCATCTGATTGCTTCAGACTATTGCAATTTCGTGATAACTTAATGAAACATTTCATTGTAATGAGCAGTTTAAAGTAGAGAAACTTGTAAACATCCCCTAATAATAAAGTATTCGCTTACAAAATAAACTAAACTTTATGTGTAGTTTGACAATTAACTTACATTTCATTGCATCTTGTTGCAGGGAACTGCACGGAAAATGAGTTGGATCAGATTACCTCACTGATCAAAGCATGAATCAGAAGCTAACATCAGTAAGTAACATGGATGCATGTCAAATTCATCCTTAGAGAAATTTTTCTCGGATATAACGAAGGCATGCTGAAATCAATAGGTTAGGCCGCAGTTGTCATTTGCGATAAATAACTCATTATGGGTGATAAACTAACTAATTCACTGCAACATACTTCATCTTAGCTTCATATGAGCAATTAGATCGGCTAAGTGATCTTGACGAAAGATTTTTAAGCTTCAGAAGTTACAAAAAAAAAAATAAATAAATAAATAAGTGTTCCTCAGCAAAATATCATAGAAGCGGGATGGTAGGACAAGGTGACTGCTTCATAAAGCAATCGTTATATTTAGACTAAACATGTTCGCATCAAGGGGTTACCATCTGCTGCCAATTAATCCATTAGATAACAGACTTATTCTTACTAATTGAATCGTTCCCTTTCAAATATCTTTTCTTCTTTATGTAAACAATGATTACTTACTTGGCTCATAATGGTAACAGGTGAAAACCCTTTGTATTAACACAGAATAAAAGTTAAATAATTTTACTGACTGAGACTTAACGTGTTGTACTGCCTTGCTATTGAAACTTGAGTTTAGATTTCTACTTCTTGTCTTCTTCTCTCTCTCCGTCTTGAATTGCATCCACACCTTAATAGCTATTGCTAGGGTCAATGGCCTGATACTGTTCTTGCCAATCGATCATCAAAGAATTATTTTAACTCAATCTTTCTAATTTAACTAATCACAATTATCACTGACCGACACTTTCAATATTACTGTAATGAAAAGTGAAAGTAAATGGTACCCAGAGAACTAAATAGAAAAATGCCACATTCTCAGATACCAACCTCAAAAGAGTACAGTATTAACTCTTGGTACTTTAATAAATTCTTAAACAAATACGTATAATAATGCCTTCAATAATATCACTATGGATTCAATTGACACGTATGAACACGTACTGAAATGAAATCCTTGAGGAAATGTAGAAAATAGTAAGTTGATATTACGAATGCCGGTTCCAATCACATTTCATAAAACATTCATTGAATTGCATGTTTGTGCATAGCATGCATCGACCATAACTGCATGCAGTACGGTGAATTTCTTGAGTTCATTTGAAAGGAACAGTAGGATTGTGAGTCGTAAAAATATTTATTTATTTGTTTATTGTTATTACTACTAATTATTAATTAACAGCATCGTTATTAGCAAGAAGAAAAGTATAGGGGAGAATTAGTAAAAATACCTTGTTGCTTTGAACATATTTGGTACCCCGAACAGCTACTTAGATCACCGGAGAAAATTGATTCTCCTCAAATTTAATTAAATTCGACGAATCAGTTTTGAAGATAGCAGGCTGGAATCCATGCAATAGAAGACGATAATTATAATATATTTCTGAACTCACTAAATCTCATAAATCTATAAATGAATGCTTGCAACTCAATACAAATCTAAGAAATATGGCCAGCTCACATTAGAGCGACGGTTAACCGGATGTGTGTTTTACTATTTTTGAGAATTTAAAATCTGAAAAGGCTGATAGAAAATTTCGTGACACACTGACTAAATGACATGCCCAAAAGGCTCAGAAAGTGGAAATCAGTATTTGTAACAAATGTCTTACCGGCATCATATGGATAATTCATTCTAGCATATATGTACTTAAACTGGAAGTAAGTACTGTACCATGAAAGAATGCAGTCGTTATCAAGAAAAATACACCAAATCTGACAAGAAAGTCTTCTAGAGTTCACGACAGCACTATTGGAAATTCATTCAATTTAATTATAGCACAACAAATTTCATCCCTCTCAACAATGAAATAAAGCTCACCGCGTTGCTCTTAGTTTTTGATTTTGCAAATCCCTTAAGTACTGAAGAAGTATTGGGAAAAGGGCATTAACAGACAAAGCCTCTATTTACATACCCTTCGGACCTTTTACCTTTACCTAGTATTTTTTAATTTTGATCTGCAAAATTCCTTCTGTATTTCCCCTGCTCACTGATGTTTATTAAACTCTTTTTCTGCACTGCATTATCATCATCATCCAAAAAAACCATATGTTATGCCGCAGATTTATAACATTTTGGATGTTTGACGCTGTCGTACAATATACATCTCACATCTAATCAAACCATTCAATAATTGCTAAGAAGACTTCAAATTCATGAACGAAATTTTAAGTTAACTAAGAGTGAAATAGCAAAGAACCGAAAATTATTTTTGATCACAGATCATTTCACAACAAATGAATCGACTCCATATAAAATAAGTTACATGCAATTTTCTTATTCCATTATTGAAATTGAAACTTCAAGAAAATAACTGACGCTTATGACCTGCCCCTCCATGCTAAACAGCTAATGGACCACTTCCACTATATCCAATTTTCAAAGTCATTTTCGACACCACGATTTTATGAATATATATGCCTATGTACTTAAATAACGAACTATTTAAAGTTAATTGTAAATTATTAGTTTGCTAATCAGAAAGTATGATTTTCAATAGGCAAGTAAACTTAAAATGCTTACCAACACAATTTGATCTGACACTTCCACTAAACAAGCGTCAAAATTTTCATTTCGAAATAAGTTAAGGTTGAGTCAAACATTATGATGAAGCAAGTTTCTTCATTTAGTAACTTATCAATATAAATTTTATATTAACTTCGAGTAGAAAAAGAAAAAATTAGGTCTAAAAAAGTGGATAAAAAAACATGAACAAAAAATATGTATTACAAACATATAATTCAACACAGTGCTCACTATAATCTTGCATTCTATAAAGAAAAATTAATAGCATATTTCTACCAATCTAAAAAATGCAAATTATAGTGATTCCAGTCCAGTGTTCAGTTCTTTTGATTCCACTGATATTTCCTGATCACTGTTGATATTTTTACCAATTATATATTTATCAGCAACTTCTTCTATCAAATGCTTTCGTTTCCTTTTCCGCGTTGGTTCCTTTGTTTGAAACCCAACTGGTAAAGTCTGTTGTTCTCCATCACCGCCAAGCTCAGAATCACTATCACTTATTACCGTGCGACTATCATCCACTACAGTAGTAATATCCATTACTATTTGGGGCTGCTTTGTCTTACTCTGAAATTTCACTTCAATTAATTGTTTAGTATAAAATGTTGATAGTTCATTTGCTGCACTTATTCATTAAACGCTCAATTTCGTAGAAATTTTCAGTTTTACTTGCCACCTAAAAATCGAATTGGATTAATAATCCATAATGGCCTAGAAAAGATTAAGCTACGATAGTTACTTCTGGTTCTTCGTCTGATTCGTTGGATGAGGTAGCATCGCTTTCATTTTCCACAGCAGTTATTTTGATATCGCACTTCGTGGCATTATTCAAATTGCTATTTGCAGTTGCAATTTCAGGCAGAAATTCTCGCAATCGATTCAACAGAGCTGTAGGCTTTTTGGGCCGATTTAAATCCAATATTCTAGCCAAATCCATGAAAAAGCGCTTTTTCAAGTTAGCTGAAAAACACTTCGGGTTAGCATCATCTGTACACGTATCCTGCAGTTCAATTCAGTACATCTACTTTGCGAAGCAGATAGATTATCAGTTCCGTTGCACTTTTCGTATAATCATCATTTAAAAGTTTGAACTTGAAAAAAAAAAATAGTAAATATTCCAATTGTCGCCTCACAAATGAAACGGTTAAAATTCAAAAGTCATTTCTATCCTTCGTTTTCGAGACACAATAACGTCAAAATAGGATTACCACTAAATTCGTCCCACAACTGCCCTCGCTAATCCGTCAGCCAAACTACGACAAGAGCAACCCGAAAGTCTGGGAGCTTAACTGGACAACCTCCACTGCAGAGGAGACGAGAAATAAGTTGCAAAGATGGAGTGACTCAGACGGACAGAAGACATTGGGGTTGCATAGACAGTATGGGCATTGAGTTGTAGCAGAGAATAATAACATCCCCCTAAAGATATCTAGAATTGGGCATGGTGTCGAGTTGCGAAAATACTCTTTACGAGTCGATTCTTGTGCTGGTGGGGCTGTTGTGCAAATACTAATCCCAAGTGGCAAGTTAGTTTTCTCGTTGGCAAAAATATAGTGATTGATTATCATGGTCCTTACTTCTTTAATAAGGATATACTTTGACATACTTCTAATCAGTTGAAATTCACATCCGTTCGTTTACCTTTTTCCATCCAATAACTTTCCATTCAAAAATCTTTTCAGTCTCTGTTTTTGAATTAGATACATAACCTATTTGTCGTTGCTTTCATTTTTTGACATCTCAAGAATGGATTATACTTTTCTCAGTCCCAGCCCTTGTACAATGTTTAATAAATATTTTCATGTAACGTTCCCTGTCTGCTATGGTACCAATGGCAATGTATTATTTTCGGGTGGTGTAAATTTGTCACCACAGTTCACAAATTGTTAAATTTATACTATGTTTTGAAGTACGCTTATTACCTCAACCTACAAAGTGCATCTTATTCACCTTACATTTTCAGTCACTATCCCTAATATAATCCTTCAAATCAAATTTGACCAATTTATTTTATCACTGGTCTTATTAAAGCATTTAGCTGTTATCTTCAGTATTATTATTTTTATCAGCATTGTACAGCTTTACTGTGATCAGCAGCTTAAGTTTAAGCTTAACTATTTTCACTCCATATATCTTGCCATATTGCTCATGCTAGCTATCCCATATATATATATATATATATATATATGAGATCGAATAAATAATGTCGGACTGAAGTAAATACTTCATTAGCGTGATCCGTTTGTGCAGAATACTAGCGAATATGTCATGGGAATATTTCTAAGCAAAAAACGTGATATTTCGTTAATCAAAGTTTTCATCCATAGCACTCTACTGAAAAGGTTACAGCATGTTTCGGTCACTAAACAAATGGCAAGAATTAAGTACATCCATGTCATTTCGAAACTTATTATCCACCATTGCGAGTAAATCAGAGAATTCACTGATTGCCAAAGAATTGCCGAGCACAGTGGATGAAATTGGGATACCGCATGCTATTAAGGTAATTTTTTTTTCCTCTTTTGCTTCCATGAAGATCTTTTTTTTTCCTTATCACTGTTGTGATTAGAGTATCATTTCCACAATGATTTAATGAACTTGAGTTTTGACATTTCCCTGACTGGTAATCCTGTCTTGGATCAGAGTCAGTGAAGTATTTTTCTTAATATATGTAAGGTTCGCAATAAGGTTTTTCAGTTGGCGTGCTTTTATTCGTTTTTTTATCTCTCTTATTTGCACATTGTTTTCCTAACTCCTTTTGCATTGCACTCGATATTTCCAGTACTGAAATAACTGCGGTACCGATTGGTGGTTAAATCTATAAATTCTTATATTTTATGATAGTTGTTTCCTGAAATAACAGTAGAAATTGATTGGATCATCTTTTTTTCAGTTGGACTTATTTATTGTTTATTATTTTCTGAACTTTTTCCATTGATGATTATGTGTAATGAAAGGGGTATGGTTTAGGCTTACCCGACTTTATAAAAATCATTAAAATTTAAATTAGAACGACCGAAATTTTGAGAGCGTAGGGGAGTTCATCTGGTGTGAAGTATGGGTGTGGATATAGATAATTTGCTCAAGGAAAATTGCACTTATTTATATGAGGACCTTATATAACGGTAAAGCAAAGGCAGTTTTTTTATTTAATTATCAAAAAGCTTTTTTTTACGGAAATTTTCACTTATCAAGAGTTTATTTACTCCCGAAATTCGTTGAATCAAATAATTAAATGTCCAGTATTTTATATTATTCTCGAGACAAGGATAATTTTAGCGCAGTCCAACGGATTTGCTTCGTGCATTAGCGGATACAGTTGATGTTGATCCGACGGCTCCACATTTTGCTTTTATCGATGATCCGTTAACAATTCCTACAGATTCACAGCGCGATTTATATTTTGTTGCCAAAGTATGATATATTTTTGTTAATCTTTTCTTATTTCATTTTCAATGAAAGTATAAACCAATTAAAAACTCTTCTTGATTGTCTGACATGGATGTACATTTTATCAATTCTATCATACAAGAAGGAATTAGTGTTTCGAATTGTGTTCATCTTTGTAATGGCAGAAGAATTAATGGACCACAACATTGCAACATTATTTCGTAGTGAATTTATTGAAAGATTTGATAAATGAGAATTATTCTAAATACAAAAATCATTTGATAATATTTTTGCAGGAAATTGGACGTCGTGCGGCTCAACAACTTGCTCAGGAGTGGCCAACGTTATTCATGTATGATACAGATGTACCACGTATTCAAGCTTATCGACCGCAGAAATCACCCGATCCCTCTGAGATTGCACCCACAGTTGAAAATTTACAAAAACTGATTGCAGCCAAAGAGGTGGTCGGTGCAAACCAGTTATGTGATAGATTGGCCGCCGAAAATATAGCAGTACCTCGGGAAATATTGGTTAGTTATATCGTAATTATTGAATTGTTAAGTAATTTTCTTTATAAATATTGATTGCTAAAAAACAAATCACTTAAATTACTAATAGTTTTACATTGAATCATTAAATGAACAGCTCAATAATTGGCGATGTCAATATTTTCTGATGAACTGATGTAATGCTATGTTCATCATACATTTATGCAACTAGTGTATTACTGGCAGAATGATTGAATGATTTTTTTGATTTCGGAATTATTCATATTGGGATAGGAGAATATCTTTAAAAAATAGGGATATGAATAATTTTGAACGTTATTGTGTGTTTTATTTAATTTTTTCTAGAATTTATTTCAGGTTGACCTATTTTGCTTGTTGGTTTACTATAATGGTAAGCAAATCCCAGTGGCTGAAATACCTTGGCATGGATGGCGAAATTATGGTTGTCAAGTGGAACAAGAACCAGAAATATGGGACAGTGTGAGCTTCTTAACAATATGGAATTTAATGAAATGTGGAAAGGGAATTTCAAAATAAGGCTTTTTTTTAATGATAATAAACACTGCGTGATATATGTTAATGTTAGTAGTATTATTTTTCATTACTGTATTTTTTGATTATTTATTATTTCCACTGAAATCTTATTTGGACTATCCACTGCGACATAACAGTTTCGGCAGCAGAGAGGATATTTACCGTTTATTAATTACTCGAGACCAGATGTTGGAAGTGCTGAAGCATCTATGAATTAGAGAAATGGTATAGTAATAACCGATTGTATTTGTAAGAGGGATGAGAATTGTGGCTAATGTCATTGTCAAGAAATGCGTTGTTCTAGAAAAGCTGAATTGTTATCTTGATGATCAACAAATATGTAGTAGAATTGCTTCATATTCATTAAATCCATCAACCTAAATTCATTATTTAATAAGTTTCTCATGGAGAAGAGACTGATGTAAGTCATGATTTATTTATAATGAATTTTATCAGGGTGGTGCAGCTGATCTTTTATTTGAAGAACTTGAAAAAGATGAAGAAATTTATTCTGTAATGATAGCTGGATTGTGTAAATATCGTAATGCTGAATGTACCACACGCGCATTGGAAATTTATAAGGTAGGAACTGTTAACTATTTTATAATCATTCAGCTGTGTTGTCAGCGATTGTTTGGATTCTTTAGAACAACGGATATTTAAGGAAATGCGTGAGAAAGATTTTGTTCCAACTGTTGAGGCATACTACGGTTTAATTACAATTGCAAAGACTTGGCAAGAAGCGATATTTTATTTGAAAGATATGGCACAAAAATGTGTAAAACCGAATATTCGGATTTTCAATGTTTTGATCGAAAAATCTACATCAGTAGTGAGTTTGATTTACAGAGATGAACTTCTTTATGCGTACTGATTCTTTTTCTTTATATTTGTCTCAGTAGTCTAATTTTATGTACTAGGTTTTAGCTTATTTTCCATCCATCTACTTATGTGGTTTATTTTCATACGTTTTTTGGCTGATTTATTTACCTTGCAGGAAATGTAATAAATAAAGTAGCCAGCAATATTAAGCATTATAATGTACAATGTGATGTATAATGTTTGCAGTAGACCTGTCTCAAACAATAACGCTAATGCAGTATTACATGCATTACTGCAAACCAACAATATTTTCTTCAATGTGGTTTCATACTTTTGATTGTTAAAATAAATGAATTGTAGCAACTTCATGATCAATTTAATACAGCAGTCAAAATATTGAATGAAGCAACGAATGTGGGATGTAAGCCAAGCTTACGTACGTATTCGTTGCTGATGAAAAGTTGTTTAAAGCAGAGGAACATTAGCAAGGTAAGTCTTTTTGTATGGAACTATTTACTACTTCGGAATTTTGCAGAGTTCGTAATGTTTTGTTTCCCTTATTTTTTAAAATGTTGGGTCATTTTCTTTGTAGTCTGTCTGCTTAGCGCATCTAGTACATATTCTGGCGGAGCTTGAACAAAGTGAAGCAATTGAAATGTTCGAAAAAGGTGATGAAGAA